CTTGGGGCTGGGCTCCTCACAGTCACTGATTCTCTGTATTGATTGGGAACTCTGTAATAGACTGCATTTGTTTCAAAAAGAAGCTTCTTTGATGAGTGGTGAGAGGTACACTTGCCTGTAAATATGAGGCTATGTATTTAGAATATAGTAAGAAATTACGATGTGACAGAAATAGGTTTGTCTCTAGGGTCTCCGACCTCTCCAGCCATGAGTACTTGGCTATATTCACAGTACCACACATGATTTCCCTCTCATTGAGTGGCCCTTAATTCCAATTAGACAACTGTTGATTACCTACAAGATAAAAGCATCAATACTGCACCAGTAGAGATAGGCCAGTCATTTTTCAACCAAAGTATTTCAAGAGATGCTTTGATACAGGATACAAGGAGCATATAGTTTTTAATGAAAATAAACAAAAAGTAGAGACAATTCAACTGAAAAGAAGAATTTGAAATTAAGATGGAGCTTGATGAATTGGAACCAGATAACTCTTAGCAAAGATCTCAGAAAATCCAGGGCCTCAGTCTAGGAAGAAAGTCACTGCTCACTGAGGTAGAACGAAGTTGCGGAATGCATTTGTACACAAGTCCCCCCAAGTCAACTATAAATGAGCACACAAAGCAGCAGTGCGTTTAATAAGGAAAGCCAAGATGAAGAGCTGTGAGGACAAAGCTGGTAAAGAACGGAGATAACCAGATGAGGCAGGTTTCGGTCAGAGCAGCCGTTTGTACTCAGGTGCTTTGTTCTTGTGGTCAAGGCTTACTGTAGCTTGATGAGCCCTTCAAACTTGTGTATGCATCCCTGGGCCCATTACTAGCTCTTCTGACAGCTAATGAATTCAGATTCTGATTAGGAATGCTTTATGCCTCCTGCCCTGCCTGCCTGCCATACTTTAAAAATGGTCCCTGCAACTTCTGGCCATTACAGTAATGAGCATGTTCACCCATGTGTCCCTGGCTCTGATCTGGAAGCCAGAGAGCTAGGCAGGATGGCCACCAAGCATTCACATGGGAATATCTCAAGAGTTTCAGGATTCTAGCCAGTGTGACACTGTCAGCTAGTGAACAATGAAAAGAAGGGGGTAATTCAGAGACTGTCTACCCCGAAGTCACTGCCTTTAAAGCCCCCTTCTCCACTGCATGCTTTTCATGCAAACAAGAAACTGTTGTTTCCCCTGTTGGCCCCCGAGTTGTTAGTCAGCTGCTGACCTCGCAATCCGCACAGCTGTGGCATCCGGATATGTTGTCATGGAACAGATTGGGATGTCTTAATGGATCACTTTCAGAGGTTACAGTTGTCAAGTGAGACCAGGCTGCTGATTCTTATTAGCTAAATTAAGCCTTGTTGTAGCAGAACTGGCTAATTCATCCTAATGGCTGGGAAATCCAGTGCAAATTGCCACATTTTACAGAACACATCCAAGGCTTTCCTTTCTGAATTTTTTAATTTTGTGCAAGCTCTATGCCAAATATGGATTTATTACCCAGTGAAGCAACTTGCTGGAACAGTCGGTGGAGTGTAACCTCCATGAATGTCTGTGGTAGTCATGAGTTGGAGCAGGCCACACAATGCACACAGCTCATAGTAGACCTCGATATGCTTGATTTGGAGTGGTTTGGACAACTCAGTTGTGGGTAATGGATATCAAACCCTGCCACATGCCTGACCTCAAATGTCACTCCCTTGTGCCTTACTTTGATGGCACCAACCTATAAACTCTGTTTCCAAATGTTCCAATCTATCCATCTACTTTGGGCAGAGGAATTCCAACCTGGGGCCTGGACTGCCTGATGCTTAAATCAGAATCTTGACTGAGGTTGATCAGGGTGACACACTGGCTTTTTCACCTGCCTCCACCTCCTGGGTTCTGGGGTTTACGGGCCTGTACCACCATGCAAAGTTGTAAGACACCTCACAAATGAATTGCTATGTCCTAAACAGGTCATGCTTTTGAAAATTCTTAGTTTTGAGAACTCAGACAGGTGCATTTAGCAGTCTCATACATTTTATAGGAGTACTATAGAAACTAAAGACATAAGTTTAAGTCAACACTGTCACTGTTAGCCTCCAAAATATGACAAGACGAACAAAAGCGTTTATCAAAGTACTTTTTATAGTAGAAAATAAATCAGATTCTAGCTGGGTGCCTAACAGTAGGTAAATAGATACATTATGGTCTATCTCTATAACTGAATAGTGACCAGGTATTAAAATTATCTTTATGGATTATTCACTGGCATGGGAAAGGTTAACATGAAAAACCAGTGCTGCCAAATTGTATAAATGGCATTTCTCAACCTGCCTAAAATAACATACATAGAACAGGAGAATATGATGAAATATTTGTTATGGTGGTTGAGTGATAGAAATATGGATAATTATTTAAATCTATTCTTTTTGAAGTTTCAAGTTTTCCATAGTGAGCCCAGGTTAGTTTAATAATTAGGGTACAAAAAAAAAGTAAAGCAGCTTGAGTAGATATGTCCTGAGACTGATTTTACCAGTCTACACTCCAGTCATCTCCCCCTGCTTGGCTTAGAATGATCTCCTGATTTTCCTCCCTGGTCCTACTTCCAGAGCGCTTTCCTTTGTTCAAGGCTACTCCAGTCTTCTAGTGGCTAAGGTGGAAACCCAGAAGTGAGCCCTCTCCTCCTCTCAAACCCACCTTCACATGGTCAAGCCCTGGGCCCATCCAGTGGGCTCTGCCTTCAGAATACGTCAGGAAGGTGGCCAGCCTCACCCTGCTTCATCGCACGAACACTAGCTGCTCTGTTTCTTTCAACTCTTGCCTCTTCTGAGTCATCTTTCCACACAGCATCCAAAGGTAATAAAATGTAACCCACGCCATCTGCTCCCTGTTCTTCAAAGCTCTCCGTTGCATAAATCAGGGTTCCAAGTAATTCCTAGCCGCCATCTTTCTGGCCCTAATACCTACTTGCTCTCTGCACATGCTCTGCCGGGTCACATCGCTCCTCCCGATAACCACCCGCCTCTGAAAATCTGCAGTGGCTTCAGCCCAAGTGTCTCCAGGCCAGAGCTTTACTTCATTTGAGCCTTTTAAACAGCTTCTTTCTGTAATCATCCCATGCAGCACCCCCCCCCCGCATGCACATACAAACACACACACACATATGCTTTCTAAGTTTCATGGTGCTTTTATTTCTCCTTTTGAACTGATCACCCTTGAATTTATTATATAAGATACTGATTCATTTATTGTATACACGTACACAACTTAAATGTAAGCTTCATTCCAGCAAGAATTCTTATGTGTGTTTTTATACTGAGCTGGAACCCTTGGAACTGTGCCTGCCTCATGGTGCATACTCAGAAACTGCTGGAAGGATTGGCATGGCTAAGAAAGGCGACCAGTTACAGCTGTGCGCTGATTGTCCAGGTGGCTTTTCCAAGTTACTTTACCTCTCAATTTTCTCACCTAGATCATCACAGCTAGACTGAGCTTGCTGATTTTTTGCTGTTTTCTCTAGATTGCTTTTCCCTTCCATTTAAATAAACAAGTCTGAATTAATTGTAAAAGTCCATTTCTTCCCTAGTGTTTAGCTCAGTGTTCAGACTCCTAATACCTTTTTTAATCCCATTTCTTTCATTTCCTAATTTAACCAACTGAGCAACTGTGTATTTCAAAGACAGAGGCAAAGACATTGGTTTTACAGAGTTCACCATCTCTACAAAATGAACACAGCTCCAGGAAGGTAAGGCCAGGCCGTTGTGTGAGTGGGTTGACTCTCTACTAGTCACAAAATACTGGGATTCAAATTCAGGGTCAAAATGTGAACTCTCATAGAAGGAGGATGAGGAAGTGCATATCAGCAAGGCATCTTTCATTGTAGGTGTTGGAGATGGGACACCTTCTTCCTGTGTGATAAAAGGACCAAAAATAATGTGTGGCTGTTTTAGGAGGCCAGAGAAAAGGATGGTCTGGAGAGCAGTGAACTCTGTGTGTTAGGAGATCTAAACTTAGACAGGAGATGCAGACTTAGTTCTAGACTTAGGAGATCTAGACTGAGGGGGCTGGAGAGCTGACTAGAAGGTTAAGGGTGCATACTTCTCTTGTAGAGGACCCAAGTTTGTTTCTCAGCACCCAGGTCCAGGGAATCAAATGCCCTCGTCTGACTTCTGTGGGCACTCATGATCATACAAACATACATATCATACATATAAACATACATACATACATGAACACACAAATAATAAAAGAAATTTTAGGGAGGAGAGAGATCTTGACTTTAAAGTGCTAACCTTAGAAGTCCTAACTTAGAAAATGTAGGTTAAGAAGGTCTAGACTTGGCTTCACCATGGGAATTTGTATTATCTGCAAGTCCTGAAAGTCAGTGTTGCACTGCTGTGAATCTGTTAGACTAGCTCTAGAGACTATGCACATGCCTTGCCCATGTTCTTGAACGACACCTTTCCTTCCTCTAAAAATCAATGTGGGCTCAAAAACCCATTAGTATGATGACTCGGGAGAAAACTGTAAGCATCTATGTGATGTTTGAGCCAGTCTAGGTTTGGTCTTAATGGGGTCTGGGTTTGTGAATCTCCTTCAGAGCCCTCTGTGCCTTCTTCACGTCCTTACCAGCTGCCACCTCCAGCCAGCTCTCCAGCCCCTACTTATGCACACACAGAACAGAAACACACCATCGATGCCTGGTAATAGTCTACTGACATTTCCTTTATAACCACCAACCTATTCTTTTACATCGTTTGACAGTACTGGTCTAAATTTATGAATTCATTATTTATAATGAAAACAACCATTTTTCCAGATAGTCAAATTATTTTTTCAACACTATGTATTTACGTACTTTTCTAATAAAGCATGCCGCCAACTTGAGGACCCATAGAAGACACTTTTGGTAGATACATTTTGGAGATAATTCCACATTCTATAATGATGCCCTACAGGATGCTGTTTTTCCTAGGAAATCCACTTGACCAGGTGGAACTCACCACATTCTTTGTCTCTCTCCTTTTAGCCTTTGCAGCTGGACTGTGACTTGTGCACCATCGTGTCAAATTCGGGTCAGATGGTTGGACAGAAAGTAGGCGATGAGATAGACCGCTCCTCCTGCACCTGGAGAATGAACAATGCGCCAACCAAGGGTTATGAGGAAGATGTTGGCCACGTGACGATGATCCGAGTTGTGTCCCATACCAGCGTTCCTCTTTTGCTAAAAAACCCTGACTATTTTTTCAAAGAAGCGAACAGCACTACTTACGTTATTTGGGGCCCTTTCCGCAACATGCGGAAGGATGGCAATGGCATCATTTACAACATGTTGAAAAGGACAGTTGACGCCTATCCACATGCCCAGATTTATGTGACCACAGAGAAACGTATGAACTACTGCGATGGAGTTTTTAAGAAGGAAACCGGGAGGGATAGGTGAGTCCTGCCCGTTCTCTTTTATTGTCTTTTATGGTAAATCCTTGCCAAGTCCTTTTACCAGCTATAAAATGAACAGAGTCATTTTTTAAGTTGCTGTGTTTTTGACTATTATGATTCCTTGATGAGTCAACCGCGAGGTCCCATTAATTCCACCTACTCCACCTTCTGCTCTCTCCATTTTAATTGGTTTGCATCTCTAAGAAATGCTGGATGGTTCCTCAAGATATAGCTTTAAACAATTTTAAATTTATCCTTATTTTATGGTATGAGTGTCTTCCTGTGTGTATGTAAGTGCACCGTGAGATTGCAGAGGGCAGAGGGCAGAGGCCCTGGAGCTGGAGTTGCAGATAGTTGTTATGAGGGGAACCAAGCCCGAGTCCTCTAGAGTAGCCAGTGCACCTAACCACTGAGCAATCCCTCCAAACCTAGATCTTTTCTTACATTGCTCAATTTTCTATTGATTAAGGTTGATTTCAACTGAAAGAGGAAGTCTTCACATTTCTGTTTCAAAACTCAAGTGCTAAGAAACTTTAGGATTTTAATCGATTTTGACTGGAAATTGCGGCTTTTTTTAAAAAAAAAAAAAAAGGCCCGAGACCAGAGACAGAGCAGTCTACTGATTCTCTAATAAGATTGCACAGCTTCCTGAATGCAAATAGACCTGTGCTCTTGAATTCCATACTCTGTTATCTGACATGCTCAACAAAACACCATATTGAAATTATGCATTACTTAAAATCATTAGCAGTTGGATTCTTAGAGTGGAATGAGGTATAAATATCTTTCACTCAATTATCCAAAAGCCAATTTACATTTTTTATTGTGTGCACTCTTCTGCCGTTCTGTAAATCACACTCCCCCTTCCTTTGCGTGAGCCAGGTTCCATGTCCCTCCGGGTCCCCTCCTTCTTCTCCAGCACCCGCACCTCTCGTACAACTGTTCTGGTTTTCCTTCCTCTTCAGAATGATAGCCAGAGCAAGCAAGGGAAGAAAAATTACAAACCAATCAGTCTGGGTTGACATATTCAACCCTAATAAAGAACTGCTAAAGGAAGATCCCGAAGCGAGCTGACGCCCAAAGATTTGAATTATATGTGAATTTTGCTTATTTGTGCAATACTGTGAATAAATTGATCTTCAACTCTAATTACAGTACTAACATTCTGATTTACTTGAAATGTATGCATATCTTTTATTGCTCAATATTATTGAATATGAACCTGTCACTATATTGGGTTTGTGCTTGAAGAGAGTGGATTTCTTACTGCAGGAAGAACCCCAAGGGTTAGACTCAAGTCTGTGCGGCACAAGCCCTCCAAACAGGGAGGTAATCAATGTGTGCAGGGGGTCCGGTGTCATACAGACGTGCACTCACCTGCAGCACCATTCTGTGCCAATGGAGCCGTTCTCCAGGGCTACGGAAACCTCGGGTCTCTCACTAGCCCCAAGCAATGCAATTAATTGGATATATTTGGTTTTCCATTGGTTATCCCTCAGGGCATCCCCCAGTTATAACAGTAAGCCTGAGGATCAGTTGGGGTTATCAGAGAAGCACTTAGTTTGGTATTTGTTCCTGTGTGTTTTTATCATTATGGCTTTGGCGCTGAGCTTTCCATAAGATAGAACTGTTAGAGATGTGTGGATCTGTAGACCTGCAAGAGAACAGCTTTCGGGGGTTGTTTTCTTACTGTCCATGATGAGAAAAGCTGCTTCTATTTTGGCAGTTTCACTGCTATGGTAAAATTAATTTACAGGTATCATTCAGTGGGTAGATTACCAAAGAAAGTTTCTTTTGGAGGTCAAATGATTTTATGATAATTCTTGCTGGGAGGTTTTGTTTGTTTTGTTTTACTGTTTTAAATTTCCTTCCCAATCTGTTGCTTTGCTGGATACTACAAACAGACAGGAGAAATCAGTTATGCAAGTAGGCCAGGAGTGGACAGATGGAATGACCTAAGTAGAGTCACTGGTCAGCATGTGGTTGACCAACGTAACCTCAAAGATTTATCTTCTCGGTGACTTAAATATACATCCGGACTGTGCCAGATTTAATGATTTATCATGGTTCTCTGACATACATTGCTAAATTATAAACAATAATACTTGTGTGTGTGTGTGTGTGTGTGTGTGTGTGTTGTATGCATGTGTTTGTACAGGTGCATGTATCTGTGAACACAGATGCAGAAGTCAGAGGAGGGAGTCTGGTGTCTTCCTCAGTCACTTACCACCTTATGTCTTTAGCAGGATGGCACTGAACCTGAAGCTCAGGATTTCATTCAGACTGGCAGACCAGTGAGCTCCCAGGATCCACCTGACTCTGCCCCTCCCTCAACTCTGGGGTCATCTGCACCCATGCCCATGCCCAGCTTTTTATATGGCTGCTAGAGATTTTACCTCAGGTCCTCTTCCTGTCATAGCAAGTGCTCTTACCCACTGCCCCCTTCCCAGCCTCAGCAGTATCTCATTGAAACGTGTTGTGAGGACACGTCAAGTGTACACAGCAGAGACTAGCTGTGTTGGTCTCTGTGTAACCAGCCAGCAGCATGATGGTTATTCGCACATCGCTGGTCTTGGTTCGTCTATAGGTCCACACACTTTCTCCTTTTCCAAGCATTATTTCAAAACAAATCTCAGATTTCACTTCATTCTATCTTTAAATATTTTACCGCGTACTGTGAAGAAATTTAAAAAATACAAAACGCATTTTCCTATTCAGAAATGGAAAACACTTCCTTAACATCATCATGTGTTTCACTGACTCACAGACTTCACTGTATTCTAAGAGTTATTGTGAATCAGGATTAGCATAAAGTGCATGGACCTATA